CATGGCCGCACCTGTCCCCAGGTGCCGCGCTCCCAAGCAGCTTCTGCATTAATGTGCCCTCAGCCACAGGGCTGGCCAGAGGCCGGTGACGCAGCAAGCCTGCCCGCTCGCCCAGCTGTGGGCAGCGGGAATCCCAGCCCCATCTGCTGGACCGCCCCCAGCGCGGGGACCACCGGCACCCCTCATGTGTGGGGGCCCTGTCCCGGGCGCTGTGCTCCATGTGGGGTCTCCGCTCTGGCCAGGGATCTCCGCTGAGGCGGCTCTCTCTGACCTGCAGGTGTAGACCAAGTCCCTGTGTCTCAACGACTGCAGCCTCACGGAGACCAGCTTCTCCTCAGCGGGCCCTGTGCCCTCATCCTTCAGGCCTCAGGCGCTGCCCTCCGCCACCCGGCTCAGGCAACCCCTCAGAGGGCCCAGGGGTGATTCTGACCCAGCCGCCACCGCTAGAGCTGCGCCCAGAGGTGACCTCTGGGCGGCTGAGGGCCCCCGCCGGCAGGCCTCCGTGTGCTCGATGCTTTGCGCATGTCTTCTTAGATGCGCTGCACAGTCCATTTTTTCTATTACGTTTTTGCTACTCACATGTGTATGCCAACTTTATAGACAATCCCCTTGCTCAGCACTTATTTTCTAATCGTGCATATAGACTTATCGCTGCAGAGAATGTCGCCTGCAAATAGTGACAAGTTTCCCTCTTCTCCCAAAGCCAGTTGTTCCCTTTTCTAGCCAATGTGCAAAAAGCAGCACAGAAACATCAACATTTCGTCTCGTTGCTGTGTTCAACGTGGGGCCGTCCCACGGCCCCTCACTGCAGTGACGTGCTCTGTCCTCTCAGGACCCGATAAACCAGGTCAAGAGCTTGTGCTGTGGCTCCTAGTGAGTGAGTTTTTAATTTTGACATGAGTACCTTCCTCAGATGCTTTTTCTGCATCTACTGAGATGATTTTCTCTCTCAAACCAATGGCAATTTTCATATGTTCTGAGGGTAAATCTTCCCTGCTTTTGCAGACACTTCCTGGGTATTGTTATCTTGTTTAACTCTCTGGGCTTCAGTTTGCTACTATTTTGCTACAGGATTCCTCTTCCTCAGAGGGGGCCTGAAAATGTTCCAGGTCACACCTGCCCCCACAAATGGGCACAGAACACTCCACTCATTTGAACTGGTCACCTCCGGAAGCAAGATGGGGTGTTTTATAAGCTATGAAGATACAAACAAGCACCCACTTTTGGAAGTCCACCGCTCTCGGTGCCTCTCAGCCCTGGCTGCAAATGGGAATCAGGCAGAGGTCTTTCTAACAAGCGCCCGTGGCCACACGCAGGCACAATTACGAGCACCTCGAGCTCTGGGCCGGCCACCCCCGTGGCACGCAGCCCTGGCCCAGCGGGCCGGGCCCCCCCTCCCAGGGGC